CATCTGGCTGTCCGAACAATTTTTGGTAACGGTTCTTAAACCGTTCCGTTCTGAATTATTCATTAGTCCCCCTTTAATGGACCGTTCCGTTTTAAATCCGAGAAGGGGGTGGATGTTTTTCTCTGATGGGTATCAAATGACATTTCTTAGTGGCACCGATTGGCTCACATATATCTGAGGTGTCTTTCTTGCCTAAATATTTTATTGTTTCCGTATTCAAAACTGAATTTCCTTGTAATATAATGTGTTGAGGAGACGTACAAGAGATTTACAACATATGGCAAAATTTGGGGTAATTTGCTAATTTGCATAGCGGCCATTTTGCCTTATCATGACGGCAGCCATTACAATAGGATTATATAAGCCCTTTTAATAGAAATGCCAATATGCAAATACCTATGTCGAATGAACAATTTGTTCGCATATAGGTGAATTGTACATGTTTTTAGGCTTCTGTCCGTGTACAAATGGACATTGTCTACTCTGAAATCTTTCGGCCTTTTTAGTTTAAAAATCGGAAGCGTAACCATTGTGTAATTGCTATATAAGAACAAATAAAATGACGTAAAATCGTAAAATAGCAAGATTCAAAACAGAAATACACATGCAAGAAGATATTGTTCATGATTTGTTCGCATATAGGGAAACACCTTGTAGGTTGAATTTTAAAGTTAAATAACTTTTAACTTACCTGCTTTCTTAAGTTTTCGGCCAAATTCTTTTAAAAACATGATGATTTCAACCTTCCCATTTCGTAAAAAGTCAAATTTTAAGCATTTTCCTTTAGAATTACACAGCATTTTTGTAAATATCCGCCAAAGGAAGTTTTTAAAGATACATTAGTTTTAGATACATGACGGAAAAGGACTGGATTATCCGCAAATCTATAATAAATTATATTTTCAATCTTAAGCTAAGGGAAGTAATTTGATCAAAAGGGACAAAGTCACGTGGTGCAAATGATTTAAATAAAGTACCTTTGATTTTGCCATATGAGTCACCTGATGCACTGATACCCGGATGTCAACTTTGGCACTGTTGGTTTCTACTTGTCTGGTTCTGCTAACGAAGTGATCGCGGGACCAGTGAAAATTAATTTGCTGACACTGAAATTGGGCTTACAGAAGAACTTTTATCGGACCTCAAAGATCGGAATTGTTTACAGGACAAAGAATCCGACATGATAGCTACATGTATGTCCATCGGACTGCATCATTTTTTGTCAATCGTGTCCGACGATTTTCAACAACTCTACTTTCGTCACGTGACCAATGTCATGACATTATAAGTTTGCCGTCTAACTGTAAATAGATTTGACAGGGCCAGTTAAAACATGATAGTGTTATATATGTAGGAAGGAAAGAACATCGAAGTTCTCTCGTTAATTGGTCAATGCATCGGTGCAACATATTACAAAGACGTTACTTCTGAGACGCACATAGTGTTATAAATCCTTGAAATATACTTTTCGTCTTTAAGTTCAAGTTAAAATTACCGCCAAACCAAGTTCAAGTTAAATTTCCACCAAACAATATTTATGAACCTATTGCCATTTGACAAATATAACCGACGTGTAAAGAGCAAGTTTCGTCGATAAAATATTTCATACAATTGTTTTTTAACATCTTTGCCAAAAGCACAGAAAATATAAATTAATGTAAGAATTTCCATTGAACACTATTTCCTATGTGCAACGTCATTTATTTTAGATTGTTCGACGATCATTTAAGGTAATTTTTGTTTTTTCCAGAATTAGAAGCATGAAAAAATGTCCAGTTAGTTATAAATAATCCACCAGCACTCTAGATAAAGGCAATGGTATGGCAAGCCGTTCTCGTCAAAACTATGTTTAAACCCTTTTTTCGAAAAGGTTACACACTGAGAATTAAAAAAAACACTGAGATTTAAAAACCAAAAAATAAAACACTGAGAAATCGAAATTTCACACGGAGATTTAAAAAAATGAAAAACACACTGAGAATTTAAAATTACACACTGAGATTTAAAAAAGACACAGTGAGATGAAATTAATTGAAAAACACACACTGAGAATTGTTAATTACACACTGAGATTTCAAAAATACACACTATTAATATGCACATTACTAATGAATATTCATGAGATGAATAATTCAACAGATTAATATCTTGGTCTCCCGAACTCTCGTCATTATAATCGAATGCGGTTCCTTCAACCAACATTCGTAATAAATTTCAAGACTTAACATAGTTTTTTGCTAACTCATATTCATAACTTTGTTGCCTATAATTCAGATTATTACTTATATATCACTTAGTGTATAGGAATTTTTTGCTTAAAACTGTTTAAGCATGGGTCCCTTTTCAAAAAGTCTTTCAACTGTTACCCTGATTTCGCAAGGAAATCTTTTATATATTTGTTACGTTTATATGCTATAATAGGCACTTGGGTAAAAATTTCACTGCATTGTTTGGTTTTTTTTTTTGCAGATTGTTCCAATGTTTTATTATAATTTTAATAAAGTTTTTCACCATTTGGTTATATTTTGTAATGAGAGTTAGTGGGTGTATTTCTTCTTGGTCTTTAATAACGTAGTTTTTGTATATATTGTATTTCTACTGTTTTTATAAAACATTTGGCGCCAAATTGAAGGACTAACGATTTCTGTCCCCTAGTTGTTTTAAGCTTGTAATAGATACAGATTTAAGTATATTAATTAGATATGTGCGCTTAAAAAGTGCGAACAAATCTAAGTGTGTAATTTTAAATTCTCAGTGTGTAATTCCAAATTCTCAGTGTGTGTTTTTCAGTTTATTTCATCTCAGTGTGTCTTTTTGAAATCTCAGTGTGTAATTTTCAATTCTCAGTGTGTGTTTTGCAGATTGTTCCAATGTTTTATTATAATTTTAATAAAGTTTTTCACCATTTGGTTATATTTTGTAATGAGAGTTAGTGGGTGTATTTCTTCTTGGTCTTTAATAACGTAGTTTTTGTATATATTGTATTTCTACTGTTTTTATAAAACATTTGGCGCCAAATTGAAGGACTAACGATTTCTGTCCCCTAGTTGTTTTAAGCTTGTAATAGATACAGATTTAAGTATATTAATTAGATATGTGCGCTTAAAAAGAGCGAACAAATCTAAGTGTGTAATTTTAAATTCTCAGTGTGTAATTCCAAATTCTCAGTGTGTGTTTTTCAGTTTATTTCATCTCAGTGTGTCTTTTTGAAATCTCAGTGTGTAATTTTCAATTCTCAGTGTGTGTTTTTCATTTTTTGTAATCTCAGTGCGTCTTTATCATGCATGTTTATGAAATCTCAGTGTGTAATTTTTATTTCTCAGTGTGTGCTTTTAGGTTTTTTAATCTCAGTGTTTTTTTTTTTTTTAAATTCTCAGTGAATATATTTTCGAAAAATGGTTTAAACATAGTTTTGACGAGAACGGCTTTCCATACAATGGTACCTATTTCAGTATTCCTGGAAAAAAAGCAAATCTAGTTTGCTAGCATAGGGCAGCTTAACTGCCCAAAAATATTTGACATCCCAACCTTTTACTTGGTCAAGTATTTCACTTTCTTAAACTAAAGACACCGTCTATCAGTTTTTGTACAAATTACGAACGCAGATACATATACAAATAAATTGTTTTTTTAAAGTACAAATCACAACTGTACACATTTCTAATCAAACAAAACAAATTCTCACATCATCAATGACGCACACACACCGAATAATTTATATATGAAAAAAAGAAAGTGCGTTAAAACGTCTTATATACTGCAGCTGTGCTATTTGCGCAGTCAAATTGCATTGACCGTATAATCATTTGTGATATAGTCACTGACCATATATCGCCTTGTTTGTGACGTTGACAATGCTTTTCCGTAGAGTTTTATTTATGACGTCATTTAACATGTTTAAAGTACAGGTTCGCAGAATATTTTACGTCGTTTGCTCCAAATTTAAAAATGGTGATTTTTACCCTTAATAATTCATTTTAAACAGTTCTAGGAGTTTCAGTATATGAAGAATAACCACACATTGTCTCGAAATATAAATTTTATTCGTACTCGGCTCAAAACAGGATAGAAATGCTCGGCACAGCCTCGATTTCTTCCTGTTTCTAAGCCTTGTACAAATAAAATTTATATTTCGAGACAATGTATGGTTATTCTATATCTATATTTATGTCTAGCGCTTTCATCTATCTGTAGGGACTTGTCAATGATGATACTTTGTTATTGGATACGTTGTTGAGGAGATTTGATGACGTTATGTGATTGTTTATGTTGAACTTGTAGTTGAGGATTTAACATCGGGTTAAATGCCTTGATAAATAATGCTTCAATTATTTCCTTTATGAATCGATTTCTCTATTACTTTTATCGAAATAAATGTTCATGTAGTGGAATCTTCCGATATCCCTTATGTTTTAATTGGTCCTTGTGGACACGAACCCGTTCACCAAAAGTGTTTATACAATTTTATTAGATTATTAAAAGAGAGGCGAAAGATACCAAAGTCGAAAATAAGCTGGCAACGCCATGGCTTAGAAAGAAAAAAGACAAACAGACAAACACAAGTACACAAAACACAACATAGAAAACTAAAGACTGAACAACACGAACCCTAAAGAACAAATTCTTAAGTTTCACTTGAATTGACCACTCAGTATAACAGTTTAAATCGCTAATTGTACTCAGATATCTATTCTCACTCTAATGTAAATATCAACCCATACAGTTCACTTCAATCATTATCTATGGGGCAATTCTCAGACCTCTCCCCAACTTTATTTGATTTTTGACCTTTCTGCATGAACGAAATAAGTGCACAGCAAATCCAGTTAAGTTTTAATTTTCTAAGAAATGAAATACATTTGAATTTTTTATATCAAGTTCATGCTATATCCAGCAAAATTTCCAGATGAACAGGTTTGTTTAGCACTCAGAGTTAAATTATGGTGTAAACACGGCATTTGAGCCTAAAGGTCCAGATGAACCTTACATGTGATGGGAATTGTCTTATAAATCACATAAACAAAACTACTAATATGTAATATAATATAATTGCTACAAGAAATGGCCACCACACTATTTGAACATAAGACTTACAGTTTAAAATTGTAAAATTGCGCTGAGAAAGCGATAATGGGTAGGTATTAGTGGTTTTTCTTTCCTGAGCAAATTCCTTGGGTTTGCATTTTTGTTGAGAACTAGCTTACACAGTATAATTCTGACTGTTCAGGTCAAATACAAAGCCGGGTATATTTAAGAAAAAATTCATGGCAGTCGAAATTTTGTCAACCATGAAACCCCTATACACACGATACTGTATATCATATTATTCAATAATAAATTAAAAAAAACCTTACATTATTCAACAAAAACACTTCTTTTTATCTAATGTTATCACATTCCGAAGCGTGCAAAAAGCCTGAAAACGTCCGGTGTTTGACGCCCGAAGCATACATGTACATATGACGTCTTCTTGTTTAGTTGCCAAAGACGATAACATCATTTGGTGGGATTTTCGTTTTATGACATTTTGCATCGAAATAATAACTGAAATGGACTGATTTGTTTATTTTGCATTAGAATAGAGATAAAGGTATTGTATTTGAAGCTTGGCCTATGTAAAACGTCGGATTAACTGTCAAAAAATGAGTTTTCTTTGTCGTATGAATAAGATTGGCGTAACACGGAGCAGCCTATTTTGTGTATTTATGCGTATGTACTAAAGGTAGATACTGTGGTTATACTGGTTGACGATATACAGGTCGTCATATTAGAATCTCATGTCATTTTAATGTAGTATATTGCTAAATGTGCATTTAAAAAGGCTTTTGGGCTTTCCATTCTCAATTTTATTTTGGGCGTTTAACTATCATTAATCAATATGAAGGCATGAAATTTAAGATTATAACTACAATCGGATCATAGATAAAGTGACCTCATTTCAGAATACTATCATGTTTAGTAGTTCAATTAAAACGATAAATTCTAAAACTTAATGTTATAGGTTAAGTGACAAGTTGATGTATTCTGCCTTATTCATTTGTGGATAAATATAAGTCTGAGGCACACTATCATTTGTGTCGTTAAAGTCGTTCACGTCGTAATTCAGATTCCAATTTTCGTGGTCATGAAGTACATTTGTTTTATCTGATAAAGAATCTTCTTCTAAGACTTCACAGGCATGTCGACAAGCAACATTCTGTAAAGGAATTGCATTTTCATAATCTGACTTTTTTTTGGTAGTGAGATAAACATGATCGTCTTTTACTTGATCAGTAACTATCAGCGTGGTGTAAGGCTGTTCATATCCATCGTCTAAATATTCTGAAGAATCTCTATCATTGTCCGATGATGTGGATGTATGTTCTGCCGACACAAGGTCTATATCTCTATTGACCATTGACATGCTGGAGCTATCATTTTCTGCAATCATAAGAACCACATTATATCATCTCATTTGAACAATAAAACTTGTGTAAATTTGAAAAAAAAAAATAACACCAGAGTTTCAGGTTGCAGCGTTATATAACCTTAAAGAAGCATACCGGGTATAATGCAATTTTGTTTTCAATTTTTATCATCTTTTTCAGTAATTGAATAATATAATTTGGTTCAGTTTTCCCTACAACTCACTCCAAATCAAAATATGATCAGAAGACGGTGGTAATTTGAATGTATATTCTAAAGGCGCAAAAGTTTTTCTGAAGAGCCAGGAAAACTGTACAATTTTTTCTTCAACTATGAGTACGTTTTATTTGGTGCAGATATATAAACAATGTATTTACATTCAAGTGTTTGTTGATTGTTGGAGTTTACCCCACTTTGTGCTACCATGGCTATATCATGCATGCTAGTTTTTGGGTTTGTGTTTTTGTTGAAGGGTGCAGGAGGATCCGGACAAAACAATCAACCGTTGTCATGAAAAGTTGCATCATTGTCAAATAAGAAATAGGTCGAGCACTCTTCGTCATGTACGAAGTTCGAACTCGCCAATTCAGAAGTGCAGGCTAGTGATCGTAGTAGATGAACTTTTCAGACCAGTCAGCCACAAATCCCATTAAGCTCAGGTTCGCGTTTCTCATTACTTAGCGTTTGACGTCTGTCGTCCTTCATCTTTTTAGTTTAAAAGAAATATCATTCTCTGAAACTACTGGACCAATTGAAACCAAACTTGGCTATAATTATCATTTGGGTATATAGATTAAAATGTGGCCATTTAACTCTGTTTTCAACAAAAATTGCTGACATGCATGGCTAAACATTAAACATAGTGATAAAGTGCTGTTTATGTCTTTTATTTTAAAAACCTCTTTAAGTAGAGAAATCTGAGGGGGCATAAATGTTCAGCATGCCAAGATCTATATACTTTCTATTTGAATCGAACTATCATGTTAATTCTTAAAGGCCGTATTGCCTTAAACGATGATTCCTATCATTTTGTTAATTTTTGTGTTCGTTTTTGTGTTATTGCTTACATTATCTTGAAACCTAAAACAAATAAAAAAAAATAAAAATGACAAGCAAGTCTAGATCAACAAATGTCCCAACATGTCCGAAATTGTTGGTCGACTCATTGTAGGAATAACACCCCAAAATGACAAGATTTTACAAGAATTTACATTTTTGACTAAAACTATGACAGATAAATAAACACTGTAAACAGCAATTCACATGATACAAGATCTGCACTTATATCAACATAGCCGAAATAGTCAATCGACTCCTTAAATAAAAGGTTGTCTTTTAATGATGATTATTAACCATTGTGTTCATTTATGACGAAGGTTATAGCAGATAAAGTAAACTGTACACAGCCACAACGAGGAACAAGAAAGAATAAGTCAACTTTACCGATAATGCCAGATGACCTCAAATTATTTATATGATGGGCAAGAAGCATAGAAAAACACTACTGACAAATTGCAAAAACTTATTTATAAATTCAAAATAACATTTGCCCTCTTAAATATAATTTTAGTCATTAGTGAATCTAGATTTCCTTTTTCATTATGTACTACATGACGACCGCAACTAATCAGATCGAAGACCTGAGCTGTGTGCTATTACTACTAAAATCGTGTGCAAGATACGTACTACTGAAATGGTCTTTATTAGGCACATTTGAGACCATTCATTCAACTTTTCCACTGAAAACTAAAACGGAAAATAGAAGCATGACAATAAACATACGGGAGGCACCGAGGCAGTCAAGTATCTTTAAGGTAACACTTTCCAATGTAATGCTCAGCTCAAACTTTACTGCTAATTTACGAGGAATGAAGACAAATCATTACTACAAAATGTCATTTAAATGACATGAGAAACAAACCAATCATAACTTGGTTGATTGAGCCCTTTAGCCTGTCTATCCGCATTGGTACCGACTAACAGGTAGTAACAATCGAATTGGAATGTTAACATTTCTTTAGTATCGTATTACATAAAGTACCTTGCGATGTGGGTTGTAGGTTATCATCTTCAATTATCTCTGTATAATGAGAACTTTCACCAAAAGTCCTTTCAGGTGTTTGGACATTTATTGCAGGTTCCATCCTTAATGATTAAATGACATGTGTAAACTCAAACTTGAATGCAAATGTGCAAAACAGAAATCATTTAAAATTATCATGAGAAACACTATTTATTCAAAAAGTGTATATACCTTATAACAACATAAGCAAATCATTGCTCACTTAACCGTCTTTTGGCCTACAAAAAACTACGTTTCCATGCTAAAGCAATTGGCTTATCAACCTCCCATTCTTTTAAAATCATTTCCTTATTTGTTGTTCAATGTTAAATCGGACAGAGAAAGAACTACTATAACAAGAAGGAATGATTGATAAAAATGCTTCACAAATCCACATATCCACAAACAACCAATTGTAAGTTTTGGACATTTTCAAAACCGATGATTACAAAACTGATTTATTGCCAAAATGATTAATACCACATTGGATGAATAAGATCAATTTCAATACAGGGTTGCAATTGTACAACATTTGAAAAAAAACACCAACATACTTCCCTAGAATTTTATAAAATTATGTTCCATCTGTTAACAAAAGATTAAACGCACCTTTCCCTGTACCTCTGTTTCAATCTACCTGAAATTGAAATATGGAACAAACCTTACATAACATTAATTTGCATTGAGTATGTGAATGTAGCATAACAATTAATGGATTTTTATTACAATCAATTTTGTGTAATATTTACATTGAAAATAGATAATACTGATATCACTCAATTACAGTAAAACATATTTATTATACAGAGTTCATTCCAAGCTAACAAAATGTTTAATACAGTAAAAACGGAATAGTAAAAAATTATGCGATGACCTTTTGAGACATATATACTTAATTTGTAATAACATTTTTCTAAAGGTTCGTACTCTATAATGCGTTATTCAACGCAATAAATATAAAAAAAATACCACATTTCGTCTAATGAATAGTCATTGTTTTATTTGGCATATGACTTATCTTGTGCAATATAACGTTTCGATTATGTGTTTGATATTCCGACCAATTGTCTTTGGATTAACAAATAACACACTTTGAACTTACGAACATATAATACAATCCCAGCCACCAGAATTACAATGATAACCACTAATGATAAAATCACGACGCTTTGGACGGATAGGGATTTTTCTACAATTTCATATTTGCCTGAAATAAATCAAGCATGTGTGCAAATGATTAGATCTTAAAAAGGTAAACCAATTATACGCATATTTAAACGCATTTGGTATTTTCGGAAATAATTATTTCATCTGAATCAATGATATTACTTCCAACAAATTAATTCTTCCAATTGTGAAAGCGTTCATCACATAGCAAATAAGTAAAATCACTAGCAAAATGACTTGAACAAAATCGTATATTTGTGACAATTATAAAATAGTCATTCTAGACCTATATTCTATATTTAGCAATGTCGGTCATGATGGTTGACAAGCGGGGTCATCGGTAACAATTTTGCAATCTAGATACCCCAATGATGCTTACAGTGTCCAAGTTTGGTTAGACTTGGCCAAGTAGTTCCAGAGTCGAATATTTTTGGAAAAGTTAACAGACGACGTCGGACGACGACGAGTGCCAATGGACGCCAAGTGATGAGAAAAACTCACTTGGCCCTTTAGGCCAGGTGAGCTAATGATGGTAAAATTAAGATCATTGATTATCTGCTTCTCTCATATAGCTTTCTTTTAAATATTTATTACACTATTTTAAAATTTCTGAAGGGTAAATTTCTTTTCTTTATAGGCTTCAGATAGGTATGTTTAACCATGAAGGATTCACATCCAGGGTTCAATCACAAACTTTCGCATTTTTTTTTTGTAACCGTACATCTTCTCCACCAAGAAAATAGTATCTCACAGTTAAAAGTCACATAAATTTAGAACAACAGACGTTGAAGTCAAATGATACGATAGTGAGGTGCTGACGAACTGAACACGGGATATCATTATACGTTGTGTCTAGGAATGGCGTATACAAACTATATTCCATCAAATTTGTGGAATAATAATATTCAAAAACTAAAGAAATTGAAAACGATAGGTAGAAGTAAATGTGGCCTCTTTTATTCCATACGCAACTATTATCAGCACCCAGTTTTATATGGTTGTTAAAATTCTTATTAAGTACAGTTAGACTGAAACATGTTGACATAGATATTGATACAGATAGTCCTGCAGAAAAATTTATCGCACACCGCAGCGGGACGTCCTTATACATATCATCAAATGCAAGTGCGGAGTGTAATATTATCAAAACACATACATGTATGACAAATCAGTAAAATCATGCGAGATGACTCATAGTTTCCTCTAATGAGGAACATAATTGGCCATGCATTCCACCCACTTTGCAGAACTTACACCTTGGATGTTTTGCTAACTAATTCTCGACTTCAATATACACGGGCTATAAGTCACTAACCGTTAAGCACACTACAGTCATCAGCTTCTTTAGACCCAAATCGCTGATTCCTTGACCGGCTTTGTCTATACCTTTTGTCCTTTTTTTGTTTATAAGCTCTTCATGTTTTAATAAGTTTTGGATATAACAATATATTGCCTCTGGCATCACTGAATAGACATTTATTGTTAGAATGCGCACACGGTGAGTAACATTTGTACTGTTAATGTAATTGGTTATAACATGTCACTCAATACAAATATGACTTTGACTAGTTGACGGTTAGATTGTCAGTAAATACTGAAGTAAACAGTGGGCGGATTACTGAGAGTTCATCGATTGAGCAGTTGATACATCCGTCTATCACTTTGCCCGGCTTTATCTAAATTGTATATTAAGGTTTTTTGACGTCAAATACATTGACCCAGCCCCCAATAACTTGTCATCTACGTCCTTATGTTTGAACCGACGTTGAAAAGTTTGACCCAAACTTGTGGGGACCACTTTTGGTTTGCTGACGAAAGAACAAAAACATGCAAAATCATTTAGATACATCGATTATCAGATGTTCATCATATTAATATTGGAAGCCTTTTTTTAACTCATAGTATTTCATATCACATACATTTAAGGTGGACTTAAAACAAATTAAGCGATGTAGTGTGCAATCTTTTATGAGAATCACTCTGTTGGATATATGCTAATCAGTTGTCGGTTTAAGTCGACAGTCACTATTCGATTCATTCACAAGACGTGTAGATTCGGGGATAGTTCGAATCTTGAATATGGTATTGATACTTGTTTAACTTTGAAATATGTTTTAATCTCAAAACATTATTATGCAATTGTGGTCGTAATTTTTCGGTTGCTGCCTTCAGAATGTTTTTATGATTACCTTAACCTCCATAGAAAAGTACAGAATTTATCCTGAATAACTGATATTAGGGAAGGGTTTGGACCTCAATTTGGAACTTTACGTTTCAGTTACATTTTTTATTCTTTTTTTAAATGCATTGGTAAGCGGTAATTGCATCGGTCATCCTACACTAAATAAGTGTTGACTTAAGAAATATTTCTTGATATTTTACTCTCGGTTACTCTTGATTTTTGTTTGCTCTCATAGAACCGTCACGTAATATAAAAATAAAACTGTAAGCTTAAAATCTTGTATGGCAACCAGTCTAAAGTAAAGTTTAGTTGATAAAATAACATTTTTTAAAAAACGTTACCTTGCGACTTCAATTCTGTTACGTAATCAGCACTACCGAGTTCGTTGGAGATAGTTATTGTGTAGTTTTGAAACTGATCAATGGTTGATTCAGGGAATCTGAATACAATTGTCCATCCAAATAAATGAATCAGTTGACCATGAAATGTGTCCTTGATCTTGATATGATATATTGCTACCTTTAAATGTTGTATTTCACGTACAGTCGTTGCAACGGAATGATTAGTAATGTTCAACCAACTTTGTACATACACCATGAGGTCCATTGGTTTGCCAATATCACCGTACTGAATCTGCTTATTGTCCTTTACGAAAACTGGAGGACCTAAATAATTATACTAAAATGTATCATGTAGTGTGCAATTAGGATTGTAATAATTAAGTAGAAAAGACGCTAAACTACCTTTCAGAATGAAATTTAGCCGAATCTTATAAGAAATAGTTTGTTGCTTGAGATAAATCGTCAGTTAACACTTTATTCTATAGTATTTATAACAGTTCTACTATACCTTTTGAAATAACATAAGACTGTTCTTTCTGGAAATATTTTCCATATTCATCAGGCACTCCATTCGAAACACTGCAAACATAAATGCCGCTGTCTTGATATCGAACTTGTTTTTCTTGTAAAGGCAAAATCAATATACCAGATGCTGTTCCATTTAGATATCTAATATGATCATTTAAGAAAGACTTATGTTCCCATTTCCCATATGTATATTCCATTGGATCTCCGTTAGCTATACATTGAATGTTTCGTTGAATATCAAAAGAATCGAATGTGTGATTTAGCAGCGTGACACTAGGTGGATCTACAATATATTGTTAAATGATGTAATTGGCCTTAAGAACTTACTTTAAATAAATCAAATATTAACAGCAATTACTGTCCCTTTCTAGATTTATATATTTCAGTATTACACCAGAAACTCTACACAAAAAAATACTACAAAGGGGATGATTTTTCTTTCCCTATTGTAAATTTTCCTTTTTTGGACGGTGATGTTCCTTTGGCACCGTCCTATGGTGTTTATATATTCCAACTTGTTCGCTATGCTTGTGTCTGTAGTGACGCTTTTGGATTTCAATGAGCGAAATCGATGTCTTACTAGTAAATTATTAAGTCAGGGATTTCGTTACCACAAATTACTTAGAACCTTTACTAAATTCTTCCATGTATACAATAATTTGATTTGCAAGTTTGGCTGTACCTGTAGAAAACTCATTTCAAACGGAATAGCACATCCTGAATTTTACGGTGATGTTGTTAACAGATACCGGAAATTTAGATACGATCCGGGTAAACTTATTAATCCTTTAGATAAACTTATTCTAAAAGGTAACCTGTTCAACACTGTAATTAAATCTTTGAATATAGGTTTTATTGGTAAAAATATTGATTTTGTTATCAGTAACTTAAAACAATACCAAATATTACCGATATGTACTTTCACGATACTTCAATCTGTCGATACCTTTATTTTGGCATTGCACAAGGTCATGTTTTTTTCTCTGACTGTTAATGACGTCTTTCCACTAAATCCATTGGATGTTGGATGTGTACTGATTGATATTTTAGTCTTAGGTACATGATTTATTTTTGAACTAGCTGTCAGTAACTGCGAGTACTCTCAGATAAGTACTTAGTGTCTTTTTTGTTGTTAGGGATGAATGACAAAATTGAGAATGGAAATGGGGAATGTGTCAAAGAGACAACAACCCGACCAAAGAGCAGAAAACAGCCGAAGGCCACCAATGGGTCTTCAATACAGCGAAATCCAGCACCTGGAGGCGGGCTTCAGCTGGCCCCTAAACAACTAGAGGCTCTCAAGAGCCTGTGTCGCTCACCTGTATTTACTGATGCTTTGGAAATCATGTAAAATAAGGTTAAAATCATAATTAATAGTATTAGATATTAGATATTATAATGATATCTAAGATAATAACAAAAAACTGCAAAATTTTTGTAAAATTACTAACTCAGGGGCAGTAACCCAACAACGGGTTGTCGGATTTGTCTGAAAATTTCAGGGCAGATAAATCTAAACCTGATGAACATTTTTGCCACCTGTCAGATTTGCTCTAAATGCTTTAGTTTCAGAGATATAAACCAAAAACTGCATTTTACCCCTATGTTCTATTTTTAACCAAGTCGGCCATGATGGTTGGAAGGCGGGGTCATCGGACAAAGTTTTTTAACTAGATACCCTAATAATGATTATGGCCAAGTATGGTTAAATTTGTTTCAGTAGTTTCAGAGAAAAAGATTTTTGTAAAAGATTACAAAAATTTACGAAAAATTGTTAAAAATTGACTATTAAGGGCAATAACTCCTAAAGGGGTCGACTGACAATTTTGGTTATGACAACTTATTTGTAGATCTTACTTTGCTGAACATTATTGCTGTTTACAGTTTATCTCTATCTATAATAATATTCAAGATAATAACCAAAAACTGCAAAATTTCCTTAAAATTACCAATTCAGGGGCAGCAACCCAACAACTGATTGTCAGATTTGTCTGAAAATTTCAGGGCGGATAGATCTTGACCTGATAATCAGTTTTAACCTTGTCAAATTTACTCTAAATGCTTTGGTTTAAGAGATATAAGCCAAAATCTACATTTTACCCCTATGTTCTATTTTTAGCCATGGCGGCCATCTTGGTTGGTTGGCGGGGTCATCGGACACATTTTTTAAACTAGATACCCTAATGATGATTGTGGCCAGGTTTGGTTAAATTTAGCCCAGTGGTTTCAGAGGAGAAGATTTTTGTAAAAAGCTAACGACGACGGACGACGACGACGGACGACGGACGACGGACGACGGACGACGGACGACGGACGCCAAGTGATGAGAAAAGCTCACTTGGCCCTTCGGGCCAAGTGAGCTAAAAATGAGTACTAGTTCAGTGAAAATGGACGTCATACTAAACTCAAAAACAAATAAATGAACTAAAATTAAAAATCATACAAGACTAACAAAGGCCAGAGGCCCCTGACTTGGGACAGTCGCAAAAATGCGACGGGGTTAAAAATATTTAGTGAATTCTCAACCCTCCCCCTATACCTCTAGCCACTGTAGAAAAAACAAACACACAGCAATGCGCACAGTAAAACTCAGTTGAAAAGAAGTCCGAGTCCGATGTCAGAATAGGTAATTAATGAAACTAGGCAAAATGACAAATGATACATAAATAAATAAAGGACTACTAGCAGTTACTGACATGCCAGCTCCAGACCTCGATTAAACGGATTGAAAGATTATGTCTACATTTTGTAAATCAAGATACATATATACCATGCCACGTCCTGTCTGCGTTTTTGTATCGATTTGATGAGTTAAGCTTTTTTCAACTGATGTTTGTGTTGTTACACCACTGTCCCAGGTTAAGAGTAGGGTTGAGTGCTCCCATACATGTTTAACCCCGCCACGTTCTTTATGTGACTGTCCCAAGTCAGGAGCCTGTAGTTCAGTGGTTGTCGTTGGTTCATGTCTGTCATATTTGTTTTTCGAAAATTGTTTTGTTATAAATCAGGCCGTTAGTTTTCTCAATTAAATTGTTTCATATTTTTCATGTCCAGGTCTTTTATAGCCGACTATGGTATGGGTTTTTCTCCCTTGATGGAATAAACAGTAGTAAGTTAAACGTTGTTAAAGTTTCTGTTTTTCACTTTCAAATATATAAAGATATTACACACCATCGTTTAAATATTTGAAAGGAATAAGACGATTTTAACGCGGCTGGGCAAAGCAAATAAAAAGATAAAAATTATGTGTATTGAACACTAAGATTCACCTGACTAATCTTCTACATGATTTGCCATGCAGTAATTCATTTACAAAATGTATATATTCAATTATGGAATTTAATATTCTTACCACCTGGAAGTGCAACATCTATACTTTTTTCCTAAACACACAAAATAATTCATTTTCCAGTGGAATTCAGAATTTCGTGCCCTTCACCCCAACTTACCTACCTAGTAAACCCTACTTATTTTATTAACTGTTATGAATATTCTCATCCTGAAAAGGCTTGCAATACTCGCCACTGGACGTTAAGCAAGCAACAATGAATCACAAAATTGAAGGCATACACGCATCAAAAATTCCTAGTAAATCACATTTTTGAAATTTTTTCGCGAATAAACTACTCTTAACAAACGTATTTTAGATTTTCTAATGTAAAATGTTGAATATAAAAAAAAAGATATATCGGTTTGCATGATCTTTTGTAACTTTACTTATGTGAGCAAATATCATATATTTAATCAACTGAAGATATTGGGGACTTCTGCATTAACAAGAAAAGATTGAACACACAAATCTGAAACAATGAAAACGCTTTTCAAGGGATTTTCATTTGAAAGATGCTGTTTGTATGACTTGTACTCCAAAAGTTCCTTTCGTAACTTGTATCATAAAATAATGATTTAAAAAAAACTTATAACTTTGAAGATTCTGCTTTCATATAGAGGTATTCCCGTAATAGTGTGGATCACTTTATACTAATGTTGTTAATAATACTTAATCATTTATCTTTAACTTGTTTGTCATCGGCTATCGATAACAATGATTTTACGCTCACCAAGTCTCTCTAAGTCCTTCCAGTAGGGATTTAAATAGATAAAAAAAGTAATGATCATGCATGTATGTGCATGAGAAAGAATAAAACGACACATACCCACACTCAGAAAAGGAAGAATATAGTTGGTGCATAATCATAAATACGTTTCTGTTGCCAAGGTTTTTTTTTCAAGTATAGTAGTTAGCAGAAAAGTTCCATTTTCCGACATACAACAAACTATACATTTAACCTATTTCACAAAATAAATTCAAATTTTACACGGCTTGCTCCAAATAGCTTTTTGCTGTGCGCGACAAAAAAATTCTGACTCAGATTCCTCCCCCTTATCTTACTTTTAATTATTAGGGTAAATTCTCGTTTATCATCAAAATCACTACATCTGAATTTTCCACTTTTGTCTTTGGTGAAACGGTGGATTAATAAAATGGACTTTTTATCTGTTTCCGTTTCATTAATATCCACTTGAGTAGAAACATCTTGTGATACGTCCGTCCCAACTGCGTAAATTTTATAATTTAATGGTCCGAACCAAGTTATAGGCCGACTAGTCTTGGCAATAGGACAAACCAGCTCGACTGTAGATCCTAACGTCTTGTAAATTGTTTCCTGGGTTAGCACTAAATCTGTAATATAATGTATGTGAATTATTTTCTAATTGGAAACAAAAATTGTCATAGTAATAAAGATACATCATCGTCATTCTTTCTAATTTCTCATAATTGTTTCTACATTTACATAAAGATGTTAAGGTCGTCGACGTTTGACGTATCATTTGCTTTGGTACTTATAAATCCTTTGCTTTCAAATATTTGGCTTTGAGTGTTCCTGATGAAAGTAAATCCATAAAAGCGCTTCGGATGCATGAAATTTATATAACGTGTTGTTTTCATTTTTTGCATCACTGGGTCGATACCTCTGCTGGTGGACTATCAGTCCCTGAGGGTATCATCAGCTCAGTAGTCAGTACTTCGGTACTGACATGGTTTATAACAATCTTTTCTAAATAAAGGCAATAGTAGTATACCGCTGTTCAATAGTCATAAAGTGACTAAACTGACTAAAATCCGGGTCACAAACCAAAACTGAGGGAAACATATCAACTATAAGAGGAAACAAAACGGAACAGAAACTGACATGATTTATAACAATCCTTTCTGAAATTGTCCATTTATAAATTTTGAAATTATAAAGAAACTAAGGTTTCAACTCCCTCAGGCAAAGTTGGCCTTAGATGGATTTGGCTATTTTATTAGGTATTTTTTGGTCATATAGCTCTTCAATTGTTTCGTTACTTATAAATCCATGGCTTTCAAATAGTTTGCTTTGAGCGTTCCTGAGGAAGGTTAATCCAGAAAAGCGCTTCGGACGAATGAAATTTACATAACGTGTTGTTTTCATTTTTTACATCACTGGGTCGATACCTCTGCTGGTGGACTATCAGTCCCTGAGGGTATCATCAGCTCAGTAGCCAGTACTTCGGTACTGACATATTTATAACAATCCTTTCTAAAATTGTCCGTTTTTATAACGTGTTGTTTTCATTTTTTACATCACTGGGTCGATACCTCTGCTGGTGGACTATCAGTCCCCGAGGGTATCATCAGTTCAGTAGCCAGTACTTCGGTACTGACATAATTTATAACAATCCTTTCTAAAATTGTCCGTTTTTATAACGTGTTGTTTTCATTTTTTGCCAAGTTGGCAGCATATTAAATGCTGGATGAGACTTTGTGAAAATTGAGAAAAATGTAAAAGCGTTAAAACAGTTTTTTTTAATATGCCAAATACAGAAAGGAAATAAAACTGACCCTATGTTATTGTGACATTATTCTATTTTCATGATATCCTTTTCTATGTCAACTTTTAAGTGTCATTTCCCGTTGTGTTGATCCGCTAATTGCAAACAATATTTTTATTTAACTCGGTTTTATTTCCTTCCGTGGTCCCATGCAAAAACAAGTTAATGTGTAGTTCAAATATTCTATTTATTGACTTGTTTTAACCTTTGTGCGTGGATTTTTCATGTCCACTTTCTGATTTTGTTTTTTTTCAATAACAGTTCTTTTAGTTGATATATGTCAGTTTACCAATCAGAATGCGTCGGGGCATATTTGTTTTTAAACATGATTTAAACACTTAATGTTCAGCCTCTTTTGTTCAAATGTATCTATTTTCACAACGCTCAGTTTCCCCATGTTTTTATAATTCAGAAAGCGTAAATTAATTTTGATCTGTTTAACCAATTTGAAAAAAGAGACCTACTTATTTTGAAAAAAAATCCAAACAGTATCATGCATGTACATGTCTAGCAAGCAAGCAACCTTTAATTGCTTTCGTTAAATGATTAAAACAATGTCTAGTTTTAGACATTCATATTCAAAAAAAAGGAAAACATAAATCTGTAAAGGCCTTTTTTATCAACTAAGTACAATTTCCAAATGATTATGAAACAAGGAAAAAGCCGACGCATAGAAAAACATTAAAAAAATGAAATTCAACCTTTTCATCGCGACTTCATAAAAAACAGAATATTCTTTTTAGGACTATAGTATGATTTTTTATACGAAAATAGTACAATCAAAAAGGGCTGAGTGATTACACAACACAGACCTACGTTAAAATACATAAGTTATCTCTTTTATGTTTGCTTAATGTCAACAATTAATCAAATAAAAGAAAGAAAAAAAAACATATACATGTAAACATTTCGGTATTTCTAGATATAGTTTTGGAGTAGTCTAGTACATGAAATTCCTCGATCCTTTGTAGCTCTATAGTAACTTTACTTCTCTAGTAGATGAGGTGAAAGATACAAAAGGAACAATCAAACTCATAAGTCGAAAATATATTGACAAAACTATTGTTAAAAAAGAAAAAAAGACCAACAGACAAATGACAAACAATAGTACACAAAACACAACATAGAAAACTAAAGACTGAGCAACACGAACCCCACCAAAAACTGGGGATGAGCTCAGGTGCTCTGGAAGGATAAGCAGACGCTGCTACACATATGGCACCCTTCGTGTTGCTCATATTAGTACAACCCCGGTAATAAGTCAAAATCGGTAGGTTACATTCTGTGAAAAGGGACGGGATTGTAGTTACGACATTTGGAACATATCCGCTATCATCAGTGAAACGGATATTCCGCAACGGTCAACCAACTCGTGATAGCTTGACTTGTCACTTTAACATACTTGTATTTGAATTTATAACATACAGTAATATGAAACAAATTTATGTATAATAATTTCAGGAAAGAAATATGAACTTCAAAAGAATTGTAAGACACTCACCACATGAAAACATCACTAAAGTAAGAATATTTCTGAACCTGTATCTTTCCATCGGCACTGACAATTGTGTTATGCTGAATAAGACCAAGTCTGTAACCTGATAAAAATTCAATAAAATAGAAACTATCATTTCATAAAGGTGACCTGTTGAAAGTGATGTGTTTTTTACTTTATCAATCTTTTCATTTATTCAATGTATAACCATAATTTTAAAGAACAACTTGATTTAATAGTTCTGTGTTTGATTTAGAAACAATAAAATTATCTGATGATGAAAGTGTGGTATATAAGCTAATCATAACTATCAGGATTAAAACATGTTACGCCAGATGCGCGTTTCGTCTACAAAGGACTCATCAGTGACGATCAAATCAAAAGAGTGAAAAAGGCCAAATAAAGTACGAAGTTGACGAGCATTGAGGACTCTAAATTCCGAAAGGTTTTCAAAATACAGTTCAGGTACTTTATACCTTTGGGTAGAAAATCCTTAGTATTTTGGAAAATTTCAAAGTTTTGTTCATAGTTAATTTAGAATTTTTACCATATCAATGATAATTCATGTCAACACAAAAGCGCTGACTACTGGGCTGGTGACACCTCCTTCGAAGAAACCTCCACCAGCAGTGGTATCGATCCAGTGGTTGTAAATAAACACATCATTAATACCAGAGTTAAAATGTTGTACGCCAGACGCACGTTTCGTCTACAAAAGACTAATCAGTGACGCCCGAATAAAAAAAGCTAAAACAAAAATCCAAGTATAGTACGAAATTAAAGAGTATTGAGGACTCAAACTTCCGGAAGGTTTTGGCAAATTCCTTGGGAAAGAAAATCCTTAGTATTTCAAAAAATCTCAAAGTGTTGTTAATAATTAATTCATAATTATGACCACATCAATGATAGTTCATGTGAACTGACTACTGGGTTGGTGATACCCTCAGGGAGGAAACCTCTACCAGCAATTGTATGAATGTTTGTTCTTTGCAGGCACAGTTCAATTTGATTAATAGTCCGGTGCTAATCGATATTCGAATTGTACATTGATAATGAATTGTGGCACTATATTTTTGAGTAACTGGTGTTACATTTCTGAAATGTTTCAATATATGGTTTTCTAATTTCTTGTTCTATTTATACCTTCCCTTTTTTGAAGTATAAGTAAGCTGCCAATAAAAAGTCTGATGCAGTTTCCCCATATTACACAATAGTTATCTAAACGACAGGAACGTGAATATGTTGCTGGGTTAAATTGTTTTTAAGTCACTTAAAACCCATCCTTTTTAATTTCGACGAGTGGAATTACAAAGGGTATATACAAGAACGGAATTAAATCAGCTATGAAAAAGCTCTCAACTCTCTCGGAACATTCATTTTATTTTATGACATCAGGATTCAACTAGAGGCTCTCAAGAGCCTGTGTCGCTCACCTGATTCTACTTTGGTTTTGGAAATCATGTAAAAATAGATTAAAATAATAACAGATACCCTAATAATGAGTGAGGCCAAATTTGGTTTAATATTGGTCCTGTAATTTAATAAAAAAATCCTGGTGGCCATCTTGAACAGTAAATCAGCAACAAAGTAGCAACACTTAATCAGCACCTCATAAGAAACATTTATGCCATGTTTTGGTTTCATTCCATTCAGTGCACCTCTAGAAGAAGCATTTCTATGTATTTCCCATAGGTTCTTATGTTAAAGGAAGTCCCCCCATTGGCGGCCATCATGGAAGAAGGATCAGCTTCAAAGTAACAAAACTTAGTCAGCACCTCATAAGGAACATTCATGCCATGTTTGGTTTCAATCCATTCAGTATGTGGTTCTCTAAAAGAAGACATTTGTATGTATTTTCCATAGGGTCCTTTGTTAAACATTGTCCCTATCTGGCAGCCATCATGGATGAAGGATCAGCTTCAAAGTAACAACACTTGGTCAGCACCTCAAAAGAAACATGCATGCCATGTTTGGTTTCATTCCATTCAATGGTTCTCTAAAAATAAACATTTGTACGTATTTCTCATAGGGTCCTATGTTAAACTAAGTCATCCGCTGGCGGCCATCTTAGATTATGGATCGGCTTCATAGTAACAACACTTGGTCAGCACCTCATAAGGAACATTCATGCCATGTTTGGTTTCATTGCATTCAGTGGTTCTCTAAAAGAAGACATTTGTATGTATTTCCCATAGGGTCCTATGTTAAACTAAGTCCCCCGCTGGCTGCCATCTTGGATGATGGATCAGCTTCAAAGTAACAACATTTGGTCAGCACCTCATAATTAAGGAACATTCTTGCCATGTTTGGTTTCATTCCATTCAGTGGTTCTCTAAAACAAAAAGAAGACGTTTGTATGTATTTCTCATAGGGTCCCATGTTAAACTAAGTCCCCCGCTGGCGGCCATCTTGGATTATGGATCGGCTTCAAAGTAACAACACTCGATCAGCACCTCATAAGGAACATTCATGCCATGTTTGGTTTCATTCCATTTAGTGGTTCTCTAAAAGAAGACATTTGTATGTATTTCTCATAGGGTCCCATGTTAAACTAAGTCCTCCGCTGGCAGCCATCTTGGATTATGGATAAACTTCAAAGTAACAACACTCGGTCAGCACCTCATAAGAAACATTCATGCCATGTTTGGTTTCATTCCATTCAGTGGTTCTCTAAAAGAAGATATTTGTATGTATTTCCCATAGGGTCCAATGTTAAACTATATAAAGTCCCCTGCTGGCGGCCATCTTGGATTATGGATCAGCTTCATAGTAACAACACTTGGTCAGCACCTCATAAGGAACATTCATGCCATGTTTGGTTTCATTCCATTCAGTGGTTCTCTAAAAGAAGACATTTGTATGTATTTCCCATAGGGTCCCATGTTAAACTAAGTCCCCCACTGGCGGCCATCTTGGATTATGGATCGGTTTCAAAGTAACAACACTAGGTCAGCACCTCATAAGGAACATTCATACCATGTTTGGTTTTATTCCATTCAGTGGATCTCTTAAAGAAGACATTTGTATGTATTTCCATAGGGTTCCATGTTAAACTAAGTCCCCCTCTGGCGGCCATCTTGGATTATGGATCGGCTTCAAAGTAACAACACTTGGTCAGCACCTCATAAGGAACATTCATACCATGTTTGGTTTCATTCCATTTAGTGGTTCTCTAAAAGAAAACATTTGTATGTATCTCCCATAGGGTCCTATGTTAAACTAAGTCCCCCGCTGGCGGCCATCTTGGATTATGGATCGGCTTTAAAGTAACAACACTTGGTCAGCACCTCATAAGAAACATTCATGCCATGTTTGGTTTCATTCCATTCAGTGGTTCTCTAAAAGAAGACATTTGTATGTATTTCCCATAGGGTCCTATGTTAAACTAAGTCCCCCGCTGGCGGCCATCTTGGATAATGGATCCGCTACAAAGTAACAACACTTGGTCAGCACCTCATAAGGAACATTCATGCCATGTTTGGTTCATTCCATTCAGTGGTTCTCTAGAAGAAGTTCAAAATGTAAAAAGTTTACGCCGACGACGGACGACGACGGACGACGCCGGACGACGGACGCCAAGTGATGAGAAAAGCTCACTTGGCCCTTTGGGCCAGGTGAGCTAAAAAGGCCTTGATCATTTACCTAACATGGCAATTATTTATTGTCTACACTTCCAGTTAATTCAAGTACCTGACAATGGGATTGTCTTAAGAAATAGTCACTCCTATTATTTTATGGGGGAAAAATCATCAGTCCAACATGAATATTTATGTTTGCTAAATGTCTTTTCTTGTGGAGAGGTTGTAAAATGCACAAGCGCTCTCTACGTTTCAAAAAAATTCAAAATAACTGTCCATTCCTAAAATAATAATGGATAATTCAATGATTATATTTTGAACAAGTACATTTCAAGTCCAAAACATAATTGACTCAGGTATCGTCCGCCAAATTACAAAAGCTTCTAGTGTAAATTTTCATTTTTTCAATTATGTTATTATACTTAACCTAGTACACTCGAAAACTCCCAAAATATGATGTCAATCATGACCATAGATGGCTTATCCAGCCACATTTTAAACCTTGGTTTTCAGGTCGCAAATGTCATTTGTATTTATTAGCACTAACTTTTTTGTTTTGATGATTGGTATTCCAGAAATATGTGTCTGGGAACGAAAACGGTACTTAAACATGGCTCTCTCTCTCTGAAGAAGACAATTGTTCAAAATTATTCCGGCTGTCATTCAAAAGATTCCCTTATCAGATCATTAATATCTATGAATGTGTGTTCTGATTACCTCTCTTTATAAAAAAAAATGCCCTATGTCTGATAAAATATACTGACCAATTTAAGAAAGATAAAATCAAAGGGTCTATTTTTTCAATTGAAAATAAGATTGGTCAGAAAATAGTTGCCATACTATTTTTACAACTTAATAAAACCATTTAGGAGATATCCATGATGGAAGTCGAAAACATCATTAGATTTTTATTGTTATTGTTATTACAAGGTACTCGTTTTAAAAAAAGAGAGGCGAAAGATACCAAAGAGACATTCAAAGTCTAAAATAAACTGACAACCCCATGGCACCCCTCATTTGCTTGATTTCTAAGACTTTATTAAAGATGTAAATGTCTTAACTTATTAACCACCTAGTTGAAACACATCTCAAAGTATAATCTGAAATAATTTGGTTTATGCATAGGCTGTATGTACATTAGTAGGTAAAATTAATGAACTTTTCAGAAATTGACTGGAAATTCTTACCCATCTGGGCACCTGAGTTCATCATCGGATTTTATTGGGGTTTGTATTGCACTATGTGTTTTCTGTAGTGTTTTGTGGACTTTTGTTTGCCTTTCGTTTGTTTCATGTTGTCGTGGCGTTGTATATAGTCTTACGATTTTATATTACCATCTGAGTAATTTATCCTTTTTTAAACATTGATGTAACTTTTAAACACTGAAGTTTGATTTTGTCTTACACCTGGTCATTATAAGTAATTCCTTCGCAAAATTATGGACCAAATACCTTCAAAATTCTGTCAAACAAAAGTCCGCGATTAAGTGTAAAAAATATTCACCCCTCATTTTCTTCATTTCTAAGACTGCATTAAAGATAAACATGTGATCGAAAACTCCCTGATTTAAAACGTTGAAAAAGTATTTTGATGGCTACATATATACCTGGATAGAAAAAAAAGTAACATTGGTTGATCGATATGCGATAGCTTTTTCTCCTTTTCGCATTTACCTGATGTTTTCCCCCTCCACTCCCTTATGTTAAAACATTTTAATCAAAGGAATATTGAGTTACTGAGGTGTGAACATTTGAAAATTTTGGATAGCTGAATTATTGTACATACAAACCACCAACAAGAACGTTTTAATTCATAGAATTTGATGGGAAAATGGTGCATGAAATGTACCGAAGCCGAACAGTTGTACGTTATTTACGTAACATTGTCGATCTCTCCCAGCTTTCGGAAAATAAGCCTAGAAGGGCAGCGCGTATAAGATACTGTTATTGTAATATCGTATGGATAAGAGCAAAAACACATTGAATTAATTAACTGGTTTAGATATCAAAGTATTTCCATTTGGTTTAAAAAAAATCAAACACATCGGAAAAAGGGCGTGTACCCATGCCCTGAGCCCACATGCTTGTGTCACCTAATGATAGCATTTACACGTCATTATTAATTCTCGTCTCACTAGACCGATTCTTTCAAAGAGCACAATCACTTGAATTATACAAACTTCAGCATTTATAAGTTTCGTCTTTAGACTAAGTACACGGTGTAACGAAAATATCGGTTCAGTTAAAAAAAATACCATTAGAATCTTACTAGAATGTTTTCATGTATGGCAAATGACGTCATTTATGTAAATGTCTTTTTTTTTAAATTATACAGCCAATAAGTAGACTAAGTACATTGTTTAACAAAGATATTGGTTCAGTTCAAATTTTTTTAACATAATATTCTTACTTGTTAATTCGTTCAAAAAACTCGGCCTGGAATTGGATTTGCATCATCGTCATTTTGATTTGATAATATTAGGATTTCCGTTAAGATGTTGCCTCATTAATTTTTACCCAGAGCTATGATATTACATGGGTATTTGACTAATTAACCTTTTACAGAAGACTGTAAAGTAAATTCAACATTAAGGGTTTTTTTATTTGCGAATCTTTGATGACTTACCGCTATCTGATCTGAATGGGATTACTAAATCTTAGTCTGAGTTTTTAGTAACGTATTAAATTTTAATAGCTTTCCATCTCCTTTGTCAAAAAAGAAAAATGAAACCTATTGTCGAATTTACAGATATGCATACTTACCTTTAATCTACAACTTATATGTAGCCGGTACTGTGATTTATGAGCAAATGAATTATTTCCTTAAATATTTATATAGATTATTATTTAAAACATGTGACATATGATCAGGTGCTGGGAATCGAAATTGTTGTATAAGTACGTTAATACTTTTTTATTCATTTTAATTGATATTTTTAACACTTGAAAATATTGTTTTATTCTATTTTCCAAATATACATTGTAAGTATCATTTGACATCAAAGAACAAAGATGATACCGAAGATCCAATGCGAACATTGAACAAAACACACACGACAATCTCACTCCGACGCGCTTAGTTAAAGTTCATTCACCTGCTCGAATTCCGTTTCAAATATGTTAGTAATAGATAGATAAGCTGTGAGTCAAAATTGACATTTTCATAGATTCACTAAAAATCATACAAGTTAGACGATGTTATGTGTCCATCATTAATATCTTTTAGTCTGGGTTTTAGTTTTTAGTCATGGATAGTTAGGTTCAAAGATAAATTTTATTTCATAGCTCAGAATTAAGACATGAATTGTGTATTTAATGATACATTAAAAAAGCAACTTTTCTGAAATAAATGTTGCTATTTCCTACACTTAATATACAAATTATCTTATTTGTTTTCAGTCGTTATTGTTTTTAATTTTTTGTATTTTTTGTTGTTTTTGTTTTGTTTTGTTATGATGCTTTCAGACAATTTGTATTAACTTTCAAAACTTTTGTTTGAATAAAAATAAGGAGATGTGTTATGATTTCAAGTGAGAAAATTATTTAACATGATAGTCTAAATGACGTGAATGTAATAACCGTATGGCCCTCAACAATTGGGAAAGCCTATAGCGTATAGTCAGCTTTAAAAGGCCCTTACATGATATGTGTACGTGTGTTTTAATTGATTTTAGTCTGTGATGCATGCTTTTTTATTGTTAATTGTTTTTGGCTTTTAACTAGCTTTCAGTAACGGCGAGTACGTACGCTTGAATCGTACTTTCGTGTTTAGTTTGACCTGTTGACACAATTTGTAATTTATTTCTGTATTTCAATGTTTACTTATTTTGTGTTATATCTCGTCTTACTATTTTAGATATGTACCACCGTTGATAAGTATTTAGTATGACGATAAATGTTCACTTCTGCATGTTCTATACTCGTACTCTAAACAACAAATATATTAATTTTGTTCTAATGCGGCGTAAGGTAACCAACAATCAATATTAATTTTGTAAAAAATGTTTACTTCCGTACTCCTATCAACAAAATTATTATATTTAAATTTGCCTGTGTACGTTGTTTTATTTGACGCCGTATTGTCCCAGGTAAGAATTGTCTTATTGACAATCTTCCTACATCTTTTTTTATTACTACCTTTAGCGTCTATGTTATATAGGCACCTACGTTTTGATATTGTAATTTTCTTGTGTAATAGATCAAACTTATTCCTTCAGTGTATGTTTACTTGTTTTTGTTTTTGAATGTCTTTTTGATCGAGTTAAGGCATTTCAATTGATATTTTATATATAGTGTGTCTTTTTATGTTGTAATGTTACACTACTGTCTCAGGTTAGGGTGGAGGTTGGCGCTTGTTAAAACGTTTAAACCCGCTGCATTTTTATGCACCTGTCCTAAGTCAGGAGGCTGTTATTCAGTTGTTGTCGTTTGTTTGTGTGGTTCATAGGTGTTTCTCGTTTCTCGTTTTTTATATAGATTAGACCGTTGGTTTTCCTGTTTGAATTGTTTTACACTAGTCATTTTGGGGCCCTTTATAGCTTGCTGTTTGGTGTGAGCTAAGGTTCCGTGTTGAAGTCTGTACTTTGACCTATAATTGTTAACCTTTTATACATTGTGACTTGGATGGAGAGTTGTCTCATTGGCACTCATACCACATCTTCTTATTTATGGTGTAACGTGTAAACGAGAAAACCAACGGCCGAATTTATAACAAATATAAAAGACGGTGGTTGTCGTTTGTTTCTGTGTATCATATTTGTTTTTCGGTTCATTATTTTGTATATAAATTAGGCTGTTAGTTTTCTTCTTTGAATTGTTTTATATTTGTCAGATCGGGGCTTTTGGAGAGTTGTCTCATTGGCAATCATACCACATCTTCTTATATTTATATTAACCAGTGACAGCCACTGAATTGCAGGCTTCGACTTAGGACAAACACAACACATTTATTGCGGTGTTGCACTAGAATTTGGTGAATACTAAAATCCCGGAACTTCTATTTCTATCATGTTCATTTGTGTTTCGAAGTGTCACATCGTTTATCAAATTATGCTGAGCTGTGATACTAATTTTGAATGGGTGTGCAATATTCGTCTTTTTGTGTAGGCTGACTATTTATTCCTTGGTCGTCAAAATACCGATTTTTGAATTGAACGATATTGGAGTCCTGATCGATGGTATATTTACTAAGTGATAAAGCAATACGATCTTCTTCATCCGCATCTTAAACTTCTTGTTCGTCGTTTTTCACGTCTGGTCTGTGTTGGTTTTTTTTTTTTTTATGTTTTTCTGCTTTGTATCGATCTGATGAGTTAAGCCTTTTTCAACTGATTTTTATAGGTTGTTCTTATAGTGTGCTGTTATACCACTGTCCCAGGTTATGGAAGGGTTGAGCGCTCACAAACTTGTTTAACCCCACCACATTTTGTGTGTGCCTGTCCCAAGTCAGGAGTCTGGTTTTGAATGGGTGGCGGCCATGAACAGACGTAGGTAGATTGGTCCCACATTTTTGTGCCAGTTTTGCATTTAAAGAGATATGTTTGTCATTTAAACTGTAGGAAATGTGCTTCGTATAGATGATCTATAGTTATTCATATGTATTGGAGACGGAGGTAGGGAAATAAAAGACTTTTGAACAGTACACACCTGGTAATAGACATTATTACAAATCAGTTAGGGTGCATTCGACTTATCGAAGATGTCGCAATCTCAAATTACAAGTTTTTTGTCTAAAGCGTCTGTGGGAAAATTGAAAAACTGTAATGATAATGCAACAAATAAAGTAGACACAACTGAATCAGTATTCGATTTGAACAATACAAATACAAGTGACAAATCTAACCCAAATAAACGTCCACGGACATGCATATCAGATAGCTCAGATCACTCTGTATGTATAGAGAGGGAATTAGAAGACATAAGAAAATCCATGGATAAAACAGTTAAAAAAGATGATATTGAGGAAATTGTCACCAATATTATGGGAAAATTACTTATTTTGTGTTATATCTCGTCTTACTATTTTAGATATGTACCACCGTTGATAAGTATTTAGTATGACGATAAATGTTCACTTCTGCATGTTCTATACTCGTACTCTAAACAACAAATATATTAATTTTGTTCTAATGCGGCGTAAGGTAACCAACAATCAATATTAATTTTGTAAAAAATGTTTACTTCCGTACTCCTATCAACAAAATTATTATATTTAAATTTGCCTGTGTACGTTGTTTTATTTGACGCCATATTGTCCCAGGTAAGAATTGTCTTATTGACAATCTTCCTACATCTTTTTTTATTACTACCTTTAGCGTCTATGTTATATAGGCACCTACGTTTTGATATTGTAATTTTCTTGTGTAATAGATCAAACTTATTCCTTCAGTGTATGTTTACTTGTTTTTGTTTTTGAATTTCTTTTTGATCGAGTTAAGGCATTTCAATTTAAATCATAGATTTTGATAATGCAAATTTACTTGAAAAAAATGCTGCTCTGCATAAAGAACTCAGAAAGATGACAGAAGAGATAAAACAAATAGAAATAGGGGTAATAGAAGGGATTCGTATGGCAAATTGGAATGAGCAATATTCCCGTAAGAAAAACATAAAGATACACAACTTAGAAGAAAGACGAGGTGAACAATTAATACCAGAATTGATAACTACATTAAAAGACAAGGTAGGAATAAATCTAAACAAATCAGACATTGTAGCTATGCACCGCATTCCTGGAAAACATGGTTACCCAAGACCAGTTATCGTAAAATTCCTGCATATGGAAAATAAAATAGCTATTCTCAAGAAACGAAAAGATCTACAAAAGAGCATAGAAATTAAAATAGGAGATGATATAACACAAAAGAACCAAGGTCTGATTTATAGAATGCATCTACACGAAAGTATCACTAGTGCTTGGTACTTTAATGGTCATGTTTATGGGACAGACACAGATGGTGAAAGGCACAGATTTGACATTTTTGACAATATAAACCAAAGACTCAAAAAATAAAAAGTTTTGTCTGTCTGTTTATTGGGAAATGTATTTTGACTTTTTGTGTTTTGATTTTTTGATTTATCATTACTTTTCTTGATATTTTATATGTTTTCCGTGATTGGAACTTCATAATCCAAAAATGTCTTTCTGAAACAAATTTTACGTATCGAGGAATTGCGGAAAATTTTGGGGCCATATTCGGAACATGTATTTTTAATCACACCATGACACTTCCGTGTTTACATTTTCGATCTGTAATAAAAATTTACCAACTGTCGTACTTCAAAAAAGATAGTCAAATGGCTTATATTTTTTGCCTGTATGCATGGAAATAATTGGGTAACATCTACAATTGATTTACATTTAGGGTGGGAACTAGATAAAAACATTTTAGGTAATATACCAGAGAAAATGTCACTTGACAAATCGTATGTCCTTTTTGGAACATACATGTACAAAAATATCGCCAAAAAATGACATAATTTGTCAATGTATACTCAAAATATTTTTAGACTTAAGCGAGGCTTTGAAACTTTTGGCTGCAGCTCTAGAAAATCTGATCTACAGATATGTACAAACATAAACAATGGGAAATATAAATTTATGAAAATATAAACAAACCACATATACAAAAAAAAACCTGATACAATGTATAATTCATGTCTCTGTTGGAAGGGAACTTAAATTAGAATAGAAATAGTTTTGTTTAAATAGTAGTAACTAGCACACTAGTATGGTATTATAAACATAACACATATCTGAGTTCTTAATACATGTACATGCAGACATGATTTTTGTTGTCCTA